CTGGTTCGAACTGAAAGAGTCAACTTGACTTCTCCCAGTCGGCCAGTAAGTATTTATACTATTATTAAAACATAACTGAAAAGACCTATGTGCCCTTACTTAAGTTAAGAGCACATGTTTCAACACAACATAACAGATCAGCAACATCAATCAAGGTATAAAGACAGAAATACCCCTACGCTAACAATTATTAATCACCCAAATCCCCTCCACACCACAAAACCCACAACCAGATCTAAAATTTGTAGGACCCGTACCCTGCTCTACATCAGTGACACTACACATGCTAAATCGATATTGTTGGTCCATTAACTGTTAAAGTTAGTGTTTTTTCAATCGATGACTTTGTGCATTCAGTTAGGTTGTGAAAAATGACATTCTTTAGGTATAAGCTCATTCCTTGTTCCTTGAAACAATGATCATGGTTGGTTGGTTTCCTTCTGGCTAGTGCCTACTTATAGTCTCACTTGGGTCATCTCTTTTCTTTTTTTCATTAATCTCCGTCCCCCTGCTTTGTCTCTAACCTACTCCTTTCTATGAACAGAAACCACACCTACCTCCCCCATGGTCTTGCTAATTGGATTTAAAGACTTAATTGCTTAATGAGAGTTTCCATTGAACTCCATTTTGCGAACAAAATGATAAGATATTTTTGGCTTCTTGGGGGCTACACAACTCCCAAACTCACAACCCCCCAGCCGGATGAAGGTGTGACTTGATCCCAAGTCTTGGCTACAACCAGCCAGAGACCTTACTGAGTCCAGTTAACATCTTTCCTATTTTGAAGAGTCATATGCTTTTCTTCATTTATTCTATTGTGATTTGTTTGTTTCAATGTTTTAAAACGTGGAGGTGTGATGTGAGATGTTCCACTACCTAGAGGCATGATGCATAGTTCAGAACATAAGAGGTGTAAGCCCTCCCAAACACAAGGAGGCATAATCCTTCTCTCTTCTTTTTTTTTCTGTCTTTCTATATGAGTTATGTGTGAGGCATATGAGGCATACACCTCTAGCATGCCTCGTAAAAAGGGATATGAGGCGTACACCTTTTGCACTTGAGGTGTATGCCTCAGAGGTGTCAACATCTCTGGCATATGCCTCAAGGCATTTTGGGGGCACCTTGCCTGGAGGTGTGCATCTGGGTGTACACCTCCCACGCCTTTTAAAACACTGGTTTGTTTCTATAAGGCCTTGGTGGATTTCCTTGTGCAATTCCTAAGGTACTTTGGCTGGTCATTGATCTCCTACTATCTTTTTCCAAACTCCATGCCAAGAAAACCTTTCATGCATCTAGCATCTTCATTGCTTGTTGAATACAAGGTAGATCACTCTAAGGTTCTTTTGGTAGCCAAGATTCTGGTTGTGCCCCAGCTTCATATATCGGTGTTTGAATAAAAGAATGTATCATTTCCATCTCTCAACTTAAGTCACTGTACTGTCAGTCTCGGTTTTAGAAATTGCTTCTCCAACACAGTTTTCTTAGGAAGTTGGGAGTCCTATTCAGCAGCATTCTCTACGCGTTGAAAGTTTTTGTCAAACAAACCATTCTGTAGGTGAAGTTTAAGGATCTCTTGCTTGGTTTGACATTAGACTGGGAACATTCTTGTTCTAATAACATTTTCATTGAACAGTTTGACAATGAATACACCAATTCTTTTTGGTTTTGATCAGAAACAGTTAACTTCATTAATTAATTATAAAAATGTGTATATTCAATGTGCCAAGACACCTTTATAGGCTGGCATTTGCCACCTATCCTGCTTAAGTTGCTAGCTTTTACAATTGACCCTTGTACCCATCGTTTTTGCCATTTCATCAGCTAGTAAGTAGCTTCCTTCTTCACCTGTGAGTAGATAATTATCATGTCCTTTTCCAACTACCTTGTGAGTTTTTATGTTTGACTGATTTCTAGTTTAGTGACCATGTAGCCTTTGTACTCCAAAAGGTCGAAGCAGTTTGTGAACAAGTAGATGCTATCATGATTAATTATGCCGACTTTTTTGCCGTATTTTCCATAAATAAGCATTTATGCTGAATTCATTATATGGAACAAATAATTGCACATCTTTTTGATTTTTCATCGCCTTGTGAGAGTCCCAATCTATACCACACCTTAAATATAGTTGTGTTGGTGATCTGTGTGGATATTGAGATTTGAGAATTCCATTTTTTTTTACTTGTATTGGCATTGTTGAGTGTATACTTTTGTTTCATTTTGACTCATTTACTTCTATATATATTACTCTTTACCATTGTATTTCAGGTTACTCTTGTAAAGATGGTAAATGAAGCTACTGCCAACATTCCTGGCTGGGATGCAGAATAATCTAATTAGGATTGAAGAAAAGCCTTTAACCTAATTTTGGAGTTCAATTAACAGTGTAGTCCCCTAAAGAAATCTCTGTATACAGATCACATCACAGGGTAAAAGTTATTCGTTATGGAAAGAGTGGTGTACCATGTAAAAGAAATTCTCTTGCCATTATAAATATGAAATCATAGGACATCTATTGATTTCCAAATTCTTATTCTCCACACATAATTTGTCCTTGTGAGTTTTGTAAGAAATCTCCCCGAAAGCTTAATAAGGTGATTTAGGGTTGTAATAGATTTTTTTCTTTTTTTTTTTGCGTCATACATGTTTTATATGGCAATATTTCAAACTGATCTTGTATGCACGAGTCACACTCTTATTTTCAGTGAAGAAACTTTGTGAAAATTGAAGACTTCGGCAACCTAGATCCGAGTAGGTGGAATTTCAAGAATTCTACTAGGGAAAATTGCAAACTTCAAATATTTGCAATGTAGGGAACAATTTCCTTTGGCCATATTGGATTGGGGATTGAACTGCACTGTTTCAGAGCCAATCTATCTATATCTATCTATCCATCCATCCATCTATCTATCTATCTATCTATCTATATATAAAATTCATCAAAGCACATGGCTAGGGTTTTGCCCAGCTTTTAAGGAGTTGTAAAGAATAACATTAATGGAAATTCTAGAAATGGTAAGAGTGGATGATTTCATCCTCTCTGACGAGAATAGTTATCATTCTCTCTTGCCTTGTAAAAGGTGCAAGTGAAGGGATGAGAGATCCATCGTATGGACGCCCAAATCTTGTGGAATAAGGTGGGCGAATTTCAAAAATTTCTCTTCTTTCAATTAGAAATCACATTCTCTATTTAAAAAATTATATTTTTAAGGATCAATCTTGAATCATAAATTGAACCAGATCTGAACAAAAGCAGCAGGAGAGGATTATACCTGATATGGAGAAATAATATCTCCCAACGAAGGTGTTCACGCCCAAGGAAAAATCCAAAGACT